CCGTCATCGACAGTTGGATGAGAATACCAAATTTCGGATTGTCGAGGCACTTCGAGTCGATCCATGGGTGAGTGTGCTGCCATGGCGAGGAACAGTTGGGAACTGGAGCGAGAGCGATTGGGATCTCGCAATGATAGAATGTCCACGGGCACACGACTTCAGATTTGCTAATGAGATGGAGTGGGGCCGGATCATCGAAATACGTTCCGCCTGTCTCGAGACAACGTATATACCGAACCATGCAGAGATTCACTGGATGAACGACCACCTGGGCACTTGTGACCCTCTTGTCGCAAATGCAAGCCAAGATTCAACGAATGAGTGTAGCGAGGAGGATGGAGAAATTTCATGCAAGTTCGTTAGAACATCACCTCGCATGTGGCCGAAGCGGTTCAAAATTGAACTGTAAAAGTGCGGAAAATTGTGCCAGAGAATCACAACGAACATGTTATTTGTTATAAATGGACATTATATTTTAAATTCGTACTCGCACGCTATTAATTTCATGTTAAAATCGCTATATTTTGGACTTGAATGGAACTTTGGAACCCGAAAAATGCAATTGAGAGGCCATAAATTGAATCTAAACTGGAGATTCAAGGCAATCACTTACTGATCATGATGGATTAAGTGTGGATTTCATTGCACTTCCATCAATTTTGTAACTTAAAAGTCGATACGGTTACAACATGAATTGTTGAACTCTCGATTTCTTTACACCTTGCTCAATTTTGAGTCAGCATTGCGTCGAACCTCTTTTAGATGACATTGTGACTTCCCTTAATTTATTGAAACTCAATCGAAGTGGGACATTTACGGCAAGCACACAAATGGTGTAAGTACGAATAAAATAGTATGGATTCCGTCGCACTTCGATAATTTTTGCTTTAACTCTATTAAATGTACACTAATCACGACGAAGTTTAACGAATCACACGACAAACGAATGACACGACAAACGACATTATGGTTTAAGTACAGTGACTATGGGTTCCATCGCACTTCGATAATTTATGTACTACATACGTATTAAAAGACGTGACACTCAGCCAGTTCGGTGTGATTTCAGGATGGATTCCAACACTGTGACACTTCGATAATTTTGGACTCTATCACACTTCGACAATTTATGTGACTTTAAAGACGAGACGGACATGTCATTGTCATACATTGAAATGCACTTGAATCAGACGTACTACACATGACATTGCGTGAAGGCGAAACTAGACGGTTTATGTATGGATTTCGGCGCACTTTGACAAAAAATCATAAACCGATATGACATTGTCATATGAAACTGAAATTCATGTGAGTACCATGGATTCTGTCTCACTTCAAGAAATGTCGTACCCATGAAAAATTAAAAGTTAAAAATTGTACTGATAACTAAAGTTCAAAATTGTACCGACACGTGCAAAAAATCGCAAATACAAGATTGAAGTACGTCTACATTAAACGCCACAAGCCAATTGTACATTGAACTACGTCTAAATGAAACGCTACGAGCCACAACAATGTAAACTTCCAAAAACACTATTATTTACAAAATTTGAAGTTCCTACTGATGTTCCTGCGTCCCTTTAGAACCAAACCCGTATAAGGCATTCATAGACGACCCAAAAACAAGGGTTTGTGGCTGTCCCTTCGTCGCCAACCTCAAGAACACCGAAATGTACTTCATCCTTACAAACCTACAGGCACCTGCCAAGGACTTACCGATGGCGTCACGCACACAACATGTCACTTGCTCTACCTCATGCCACTTATGAACCTCATCAGTTCGACTTACAATCTCCAAATCGGATTGTTCGTTCTCGCACAGAAGGCGCAAACTCCCCATGTTGCAACCATAGATTCTAAGGTTGTTGCAAGAAACTAGCACTATAGCGTCTACCAAAGTCCGCTTTCGGTTTGAACATGTTACACACAACACTCTACAGAAGTCGGAACCGGCCACAGACAACCGTATGCAACAATATGACACATCTTTTGGCTGTAACCCGGCACCATGCAACGGATATACTTCCAAAAACGGATTGTATGATGCACAGTCCAACAACTCTTGTTTCAAGTCCGCACACCACACCCGAGGTGACCTCGTTACGTTGTCCAGGCGAAGGTAAAACTCGTTATTCTCTTCCTGCGTGAGCGAGGCGCGCAGGGACGGAAGTTGTCTGACACCAATGGCATAATGAGGTACTTTGATTAGACCTCCCCACTCCATCGCGGAAGCAAATTTGTAGTCCTTATGCCATGGGCATTTCCTCGCCAAGATGGCTCTATCGCATTCTGCCTCGGACCACGCATCGATAGGCTTGTCAAAGAAGGGGACGACGGTCATCCACGGGTCTTTTTCGGTACTCCCGAACCACGGATTCCGCATGCACAAGGGTGATTGGGACATGCATAATCATGATGATGGTCCATGACTCTTGTCGCACTCCCTACACAAGACATGAAATGCAAACACAAATAAAAATGAAATGTGGAAATAGTGAAAAAATCGCCTTCATGATAAACTTAACTTCAAAAATTGCCGAACCATCACCAACCATCTTAAAAAATTTAATCGTGGACCGTCGACAAAATTTGCCACGCAAAACCATCGCAAAAATTATATACTCCCTTCTGAATTCTCGTTCGTACAAACAGTTATTTTCGAAAATCTCACTCCCTCACTTCATCCGGTGGACGTGCACTCGTCGCCCTTGTCCCCTCCATCTGCACTCCCTTCACAAGAAGGACTCAGATCTAGAAGTGCAGCTTCAGCATTTACTCGAACACTGGAAGAAATGACAAGTCCAGTCGTGAATGGTCTTGTATCTCAGACCGGTCTCTCCCAACCAAAAACGATCGAGTCAGTATCCCGCAATTGTGTCCGCTCAGTCATTTTCCATCGTTTTTCCCATGCGTTCTCATACAGTTGTTCGAGCGACTTAGCTCTCCCAGTCGGCACCCAATATTCCTCTAACACTTAATTATAATTCTGCGAATAAAAATCAACAACCACCCGAGAAAGAGCTTTGCCCACCCAGATTGGCACACCGCTGGACAGATCATCGTCGGAGGGGCGAAGGATAAGAAAAGTGCCCACGTCAACATGCACGAGGGTTTCGAAACTAGTCTTCAGGCGATTTTTTCTTCGTCCAACAAACAGGGGTTCCCTGTCGTCGATGTTGACACTGCGAGGAGAAGGTTGTTGATCGCTTTCGAGCAGCCGTGGTCGTGGCCAGAAACTTTCTTGAGGTTGTGAGGACAACCCGTTGGCGATGAGATCATCGCCATGTTTGATAACCTCCTTCCAGTAACACAAAGCTCTTTCTCTCCTACTCACCTCATGGTCATTGTAAGTGCACCACGTCGAACGACTACTCTCCAGCAACTCGCAGAATCGAACAACACCATTTTTGCCATTCAAATAGTCATTTCGAGGAAGGGGTTGCACATGAGGCGGGTCAAACGGCCGCGAAGGACCTGCATAGCTCTCATCGGGGTTTTGATTGAACCAATAAATCGGACCTTCCCTGGGCAACCATTCGTCGTCATCGCAAAACTCCTTGTACAACATGCCAGGATTATCTCCAACCATCAAAAATTTAAGCAAGTGCGGTTTCGAAATACCGGTAATGTCTGACGCAACGCACCGTATCGAGGAAAATACATTTGGGAGACTTTTTGTGTCATTGCTCTATGAGCTCGAAGAACTCGTCCATAGTATAAGCGTCTATGCCTTTCAATTTCTTCGAGAAAACGCTGAAAGTAGTGTCAACGTCTCTATAGGTGTGTCCCACCAGCATAAAACCTATTTCTACCTCTTTGGAAACTTTGAACTTAACCAACAGTGCAGCCATCGCACATATGTACTTGTTCCTGTTTTCCCGCCAACAGTTATCCGCTTGAATGCGCAAACATCGTGGCAGCGGCGTCCAACTCCCTTGAATTTCGACAAGGGTTCTCATAACAGAAATAGCGACCGTGTTCGAATCGTGTTTGAAATACGGAAACCACGTGTATACTTATATACTAGGGTCTCTACCGTGTGCAATGACGCCTGTCAGATTCGTCTTCATCATCATCTCGTGCCTAAATGCTTTCGAGTAGTTTGCCTGACCAATATAGGGGATAGTTGTTTTCTTCTGATCCATGTCGTCAATGATGAGACACAAACGCTCGTTCGGACAGACCATCGAATCAGTTTTTGCTCGACTATAGTCCAATTTGTGTTCAACTTGCCTCCTTTGGTGAACTTTCATATCCTCTCGAGCTTGTTCTCGATCTCGAGGAAGAGCAGCATACTGTATACGTTCCTTCAGCTCGTGACAGACGGCGCACTTCATGAATGTGTTAGATGCGCAAGGGAAACGTGGAAAAAATGTTTCCGCTACAATTTATAAAAGTTGGACTTAGACACGACAGCGAGGCCAGCGGCCACAAAGTCTGATTTGATGGACTCATAAATTGATCGCTTCGTGAAAGCAGCCGGGAGTCGAAGCTTTGGTCTGGAAATCCCACCTTCGTTAGCAACCTCATTCGGCATGCTATCCGCATGACACTCGATGAACGTTCTCATGCTGGCAAGCATGGCGACCGTTTTACTGGTTGGCCGATATTTCCCTGTCTCGTTATGCTCGGAACGCACGTAACCATTGTCGAAACGCTTTTTGTAGCTGTAAAATATATTACGCGAGACACCGAGTACATTGCAGTACGCCTTGACGCACAGCGAACATTCCAACTCCACAGGGCGGACACATCTCTGTCCACCCTCATTCACTATGATATCCTTAATACTTTTCATCCACCACTCAGCTCACTCTAATGGACTCTTACTGTACAGTCCTTGTCTAACCTTTCACACTTCCTCAGGCGACACGTCGTAACAACATCTAGCCTTGCAGCATGCCATGCCGCGCACCATGAGCAGTCTTTTTTCAGACAGCATGTTTCTCGCTCTTTTGTACTGTTCTTTCCTCCTAACGTTCCTATTAGCCATGCTATACCTTCGTTTTTCGCCTGGCAGAGGTGCGGACAAAATCTGCAGTATCGCCCTTCTCTCTGTATCACCCCTGCCAGACGCTTCCGACCCAGACTGACTCTCAATTGGAATCGCATCAGCACTTCGCACTTGCGTTGGACTCGCCCGTGCTGTGGAAAGTTCCTCCGAAGAGTAGCCGCTGGCAACCAACTTCGTACTACTGGAGCTAGCGTGAAGCAAAGGTCCACTTGAAGAGGACTGTGGTCCAGACGAGTAATCAGTGGCCACCAACGGCTCACTCTCGTCATCAGACGATGTGTAAGAAACACCCATCGGCACACAACTGTTGTGCGCCGAAGCTGTGGGGTTCACCTCACGAGGAATGTGGAACTCAATCCGAGAGGTAGACGGTTCTTCGCCTGCGGACGTTGTTGCCAATTCTGTAGGCAGTTGGATGCAACCTCCAAAGCTCTCACGAAAAGCGAGACTCCGTTTTCTGGGGAAAGTTGCAGCGGACTGTTGGAACGGCGAACTGTCTGAAGAGGACTGTTGGAACGGCGAACCGTCCGAAGAGGTCCTCGGGGCCAATTTCAGATGTTGTAGCTGGTAACGGAAGGTGACGGCTTGTTCAGTTTCCATAGCACAGTTCATGTGGCTGTTTGCCCAACCGTCTTTGGCGTCGTCATGTAACCGTTTGTGCATCGGATGCAATTTCCGTCAGCGTAATCGATTAAGCTCTCTTGTGCGGATTGAACGGGTCATTCCAATTCGTGCCCACACCCTGCAAAACAGCGGAGCAAACTGTAAGCACGATTACTAYAGCAGTAAGGGCTAACCCCCCCCCCCCCTCCCCAGGGCCGATTCCCCGCGCAACAGCAAAACTGGGTGAGCTCGTCTGACGACGATCACAACCACTGCAGGCAAATTGCCGCACATGGAAGGCGTGGTCTGACAGTTGGGCGGCACGGACGATTTCACAAACCTCGATATGCGAAGTGCGCTGACATCCGAACTCGGCAGAGATCGAAGTCCTTTGAATTCCTGGAATGCATGTGCCGAAGGGAAGCCGAATTTTTCTTGCATCGACTCCAGCGCTCTGAATTGCCCTAGTAGAAAACGGAGACACCCCTCCCCTTTTTGCTTTTTATTGTTTTTGTAGTTGGACGTTGAAGTCCATAGCAGCTGCCAAAGTCCAACCCCTTGACCTTATTAAAGGCCTCCATAGATGGAACTCAGCTGCTACAAAGGGCCTTGGCCCGCCCACCCGTCGCTCCCTCAGGTAGCTGAACAGGGTAGGTACTGCAACCGTCTTGGCAGTTGTTTAGCGTCGAGAGGCAAGTCCCTCAAGGCGCGTGTCAGCCGACACTTGAGTGTCGAATAAGACCCTCGATAACGCCGAGGGCCACGGCAGTATGGACAACATATAACATGCCATCGCTTCGATAGTTTGTGAACTCATGCACGGTGAGTCTTTATGAGGAAGTCTGTAACGCGGCCCACATTAAAAGATGTCTACCCTGGGCTGCCTGCAAGTGGTCGGCTATACTTGGTTATGGGCCGGACACCCACGGGCCAGGCGTGAATCTTTGTTGTCAATTTATCGACACATTTTTGTTTCTGTTTCGCCCAGCAGGACGTGTCCTATGAGGAGAAAGACGTGCGCAAGGGACGACCGAACTGTCGAGGACCACAGAAGTCCGTCGGGATCCGAACTTCACAGATTTCGAATCGATGGCCAACCAGTTATCAACGGGTCGCAGTGAACAGACTGTCGGCCAATCGTCATAACGAACTGTCGGCCAATCGTCATAACGAATGGAAGGCTAGGAGAGGCAGGAGACAAAAGAAAACATGGCTTAATGACCCTAAGTCGACCCCCGCAAACCCCGAGTAACTGCACGTCGATTCGAAAGTTGTGTGCTGGGACTCAAAGCCTTTGCAGCCCGCACGGATTCGACATAGCAGCGCCTTTGCAATTTCGACACCCTACTGCGCGAACCGCAAAGCACGTCGTGGCAGAAGCATGACAACGACCAAACCACACTCATCGCGATGATTGCTTTTATTAGAGGGCAACAAAGATCGACGACATACCGCAAATGGACCCCGCCACAGACACGGTCGTCAACCCCAATAAACCCCTTTTAGGGCAATTCACAAGGCGAGCTATGTCGCGCAGTACCAGGACGCGGGCACCGAAGACGGACTGGGAAGTCCAAGCTGCTGAAAACAACTGAGAGATTCACGCGAAGCCTCAAAGTTCGTCGGGATCCGAATTTGGCGGGTGGTGGAGTAGCAAGGAACCTGTTTTTAGCAAGGAACCTGTTTTCGCGCGACCGGTGTTAGTGGAAGGGAGCGCCAGTGGGTGCACACAAGGAACGCCATGTTTGGGCGCACAGAAGGAAGGCTGTGTTGTCGTTGAACAAAAGCACGCGCAGAACAAAAGGTAGTGGTGGATGCACCACCACACAATTCAGCGCAGCTCGAACCCCAAACTGACCCCTATAAACATCGATTCTCACCACCGTCTAAGCGAGCGCGTGCGGTGTTCCATTCACTAGTGCAAGAGCTTATCGAACTTGGACATTTCCACTGCGCAGACAAGTAAAATGCAGAAATGGATGAAAGATCCCCCCTGCAACCCTTCCAAACATTGATTTGGCCGGTCGAGAAGGCGATCCCCGACTCACGCGCCTGGAACGTCGACGGGAGACAGCGCGAACCGCACAACACGCAGAAACACAAGCATGTCTGCGACAATACTCCTCTTACCGCGACGGCCAAAACCCTTGGGGGGCAACAAAGATCGAGGGCGTGAAGAATTGTTCGCCTTCTGAAATGCCCTTGAAGGGGTTTATGGGGGTTGCCGACTGCGACAACGGCCGTGTCCCTTATTTTCGGCAACCCCCATGAACCCCTTCAAGGGCTATTCAGAGGGCGATCAATTTCTCACACCCGCAGTCCAATCGCAATCAACTCACACTCGAAGCTCCAGGAGTCCTGCGAATGACGGATAGATTTGCGCCGATCATCAAAGTGCGCCAGGATCCGAACTTGGTGGATTTGCCTGCATCGAGTAACAGGTTTTCGCGCGGCTGCAGGTATTGGAACGGGTGGATGGCTTTCGCACAGAAGCAGGCGATGCTCGGCCGCACCGCATTTGGGGGCGGCGATGAACGAAGATCCACGGCACCCCGGAAATGGACCCGGCCAGTGACAGCGTCGTCAACCCCAATAAGCCCCTTTCAAGGCAACTCACAAGGCGAACACTTTTGCGCACTACCAGGCCGCCGACATCGAAGTCCTAGCTGTTGAAAACAACGGTCAGATTTTCGTGGAGCCTCAAAGTCCGCCGGGATACGAATTTGGCGGGTGCTGGAATAGCAAGGAACCTGTTTTCGCGCGGCCTGTATCAGTGGAAGGTAGCGTCATTGGGTGCACTGAAGGAACGCTTATTGGTGAACGATAGCACGCGCAGAAGAAAGGGTAGTGGTGGATGCACTAGCACACAATAGGGCGCAGCCCGACCCATAAATGATCCCTATAAACACCGATTCTTACCCTCGTCCAAGCGAGCTCGCGCGGTGTTCCATTCACAGGCACTAGTGCAAGAGCTTATTGAACTCTGACATCTCCACATCTCAGACAAGAAAAATGTACGAAAGGATGAAAGATCCCCCCTTCGACTCTTCCAAACATTGATTCGGGCAGTCGAGAAGGCGACCCCCGATTCGCGCGCCGGGAACGACGACATGCGACATCGCGAACCGGACAGCACGCAGAAACACAAGCATGTCTATGACAAGACTCCGCACACCGCGACGGTCAAAAATATTGGGGGGCAACACAGATCGTGGATGCAGAAAATTGCTTGCCTTCATAAATTCCCTTGAAGGGTCAAGAGCCGCGACTGTGACAACGTCCATGTCCCTTATTTTTGGCAACTCCCATGAACACCTTGAAGGGCATTTCAGAGGGCGATCAATTTCTCGCACCCACAGTCCTCTTGCAATCAACTCACACTCGAAGCTCAAGGCGTCATGCGAAGGACGGTTCGGTTTGCGCCGTCGTCCAAAGTCCACAAGGATCCGAACTTGGTGGATTCGCCTGCATTTGGAACGGGCGGATGGCGTTTGCGTAGAAGCAGGCGATGCTCAGTTGCACCGCATTTCGGGGCGTCGATGAACAAAGATCCACAACACACCGCAAATGGACCCGGCCAGTGACACCGTCGTCCACCCCAATAAACCTCTTTCAGGCCAACTCACGAGGCGAGAAGTTTCGTGTACTACCAGGCCGCCGACATTGAAGACGGACGGAGAAGTCCAAGCCGTTGGAAACAATGGTCAGATTCATGCGGATCTTCGAAGTCCGCCGGGATCCGAATTTGGCCGGTGTTGGAGTAGCAAAGAACCTGTTTTAGCGCGGCCGGGTTTCAGTGGAACGGAGCGCCAGCGGGTGCAAACAAGAAACGCTATGCTTGGCCACACAGAAGGAAGGCTCTGCCGCTCTCAAGTTGTCGTTGTACGACAACACACGCAGATGAAAGGGTAGTGGTGGATGCACCATAACAAAATCGGGCGCAGCGCGACCCCAAACCACAAAGTCCGCCCGGATCCGAACTTGAGATCGGTTGCCACGTTCGACTGGGAGCATGAAACACTTCGCTTTTCTTGGGGTCCCATTGAAATTTGCGGCACCGCCTCCCAAAGAACAGTCATGTAACCAGGACTCTGAGCAGCTCGCGACTTCGCATGCTTGAGATCGCAAGTCCGCCGGGATCCGAACTTCGTCGCACGCTGACAACTGGTAGGGCGTTTTCATACCTGCGCGCGCTCTCCCTGCGTCGGTGTCCGAAATTCATCGCACACTGACAGTCGCGTGTGAAAGCTTGCCGAAAAGGGAACTTCGGATACCGGCGAACTACAACAATCATGCGTTGTTTTCATACCTGAGCGTGCTCTCCCTGCGACCGCGCGACGATAACTGATTGCTGCTTTCGCGAGAGCAGTGCGCATGATTGTTGTAGTTCGCCGGGATCCGAACTACCCAATTCGCCAGGCAACAACACGCCACGCGCCGTTTTCTGTTTGGTTGTTGTTGGTTTCGCGCTTGCAGTCACAATGGCGACCCCCCTTGCCCCGTTGACTGAGACGTTTCTCGGAGGCGCCTGGGTTGTTCGTTATTGAACGAGGCCATGTTTTCGTGTTGAGGTTGTCGTCACGAAACATGCGGCACTGACGCCGAAGAAACGCTATCGTCATTGTAGCGAGCGGCCTTGGCGTTCTCCATCGTGCGCACCCGACGTGTGCATTCTTCGTTCTGGAGCTCGCGGATGTTGCGCGCACAGTCCTTGCATTCGTCGTGCAGAATGCGCTGTCGCGTCCCTCACGACCAGCGCCAGGAGCGCGCGCGCAACATCTACGGCCTCCATGGTGGATCATCCGCACGTTGTGTGCGCGGGATGGAGACGACAGAAGCTCTCCCGGGATTGACTCCATAGTCTCTTCGGGGAGGGAGGCTCAAGTGTTGTGACGAGAACACGAACACGGAACGATGACCCCCTCCTCTTTATGAATACCATCCCTCTCATTGCACGCCACGTGGACGGCGGACATTCTTCGCACCGTGGCCGCCCACGCGACGCTTAATACCAACACTTGTCACGCGCAACCCATGTCACACCCGCTTGTCGCTCACCAACACCGCCGCCACCACTA